AGAGCTCTGAGTGGCAGCTAAGCGACTGTCGCAGGGGTAGACTCAAACCCAGGTTCTGAGCAGTATTTTCCCAGCAGCCCCTGATCCAGGCAGGGGCCCGAGGCCCACCATGCGGAGGGTGGTGGTGGGCCTTTTGGAAACCGGGGCTCATCTAGTGGACTCTGACTCCCTTGCCTGGGTGTGTCGGGGAGAAGCCGGCTCATTGCCACGCTCTCTGGCTAACTTCATAGAAGTCGTCTGCCAGCCCTTTCTTCCGAGCACTTCTGGGTGGGCTCCAACCTCCAGCCTTTCGGTTAGTACTTGGGCCCTTTGAAGGGGGCGCTGGCTCAGCTTTTGGAAGGCCACCGAGCTGGAGAGGTGACTGGGGATTGGGGAGGACTATAAAGAGGTCATCCACCAGTCCCAGGGGAGAGTCGCCCCACAGCTCCCCCCAGTCACTGTCCCCTTAGCAATAAAGGCACCTGATAGTCCTAACCACACATAGGGTCAGCATGGGGTCTGCTCTCTCCGCAAGCCTTCCCAGGCCCCACAGGCAGAGGCCAATAGAGACTAGAGGAGGTTGGGGGGCGGGAGCAAGTTCACAGCAGGTCCTCAAAAGGGGATCAGTGAGTGAGACCCACCTCTCCCTGGGCATATGCAGGGTTATCCATTAAATCAGGGTTATCTGTTAAGTTGTAGTCGGGCTGCTGCCTTTGACCACAGTACCTGTGAACCAGAGGAATGTGTTTCCTTCGGCCATGTGGTCGATTTTGTCCTTGATCTGACCCACCAGGCTGTCCATGTCCCGGAGGCCTGCGGTGTATGGCCCCGGGGCCCTCGGGTCTGCCGAAGGTCCAGTTGCAGGCAAGGGCACGTGCATGTGGGCCAAGCCCATGTAGAGCAGGAAGGGTCTCCCGCTGGCACTGGAATGGAAGGGTGGAGAGGTCACTCAACACAAGACGCCTGTCTCTCTGTGGCAGGGGACACCCCCAATCACCTTTCCCATCGACAGCCACCTCCTGTGCCCAGCACACCTGCACGATCTGCAGCACCTCCCCCCAGAAGAGGAAACAAGCTGGCAGACCAATGAAAAAGGATCAAAATTCTATTTGTAATGATTGTCCCTTAACATTTACTGAAGGGAACCCCAGTGGCACACTGGTCAAGCAAAAGGTCGGGGTTACGCCCACTCAGGTGCTCTGAGGGAGGAAAGGCCGGCTGATCTGCTCTGTGATGATTTACAGCCTCAGAAGCTCCGGAGGCAGTTCTACCACTGGGTCCTACAGGGTAGGGAGCAGTTCCACTCGGCCCGGCAGGGTCCCTGGGATTCACGGTAACAGAGCCTTTCCCAGGAGCATGCAAAAAGGGCCGTGCATCCTGAACCTTCATCCCGAGAGGGTCTCCCCTGCCACTGCCCTCCGGTGGATTCCACAGGACAGAGCAGGCACGGCCCAAGGCTGCCAACCTTTAAAGAAGCATGTCTTTTCCCCACGGAGCAGCTCATGGGTCTAACCTCTGACTTTTCAAGTAACTGAGCACTTTAACCACGGTGCCACTAGGCATGCGAGGCTTGGAGGGACTAGAGAAGGTACCAGGTTTCCGCTGAGCAAACAGCCCCAGCTGGACCCACACGCAGGTCTGCCGGGAGCAAAGTCCTTTCACACCCTTCACCCTGCGCTCTGAAGTCCAAGCCACACAGAGGCTAGCGTTTTATCTGCTGCCTGGCAGACCAGCCCATTCATTCTCAGGCCTGGGCCCTTCCCAGGCCATGAGCCACGGTTCAAGCTGGCTTCCGGGAATTCCCGGAGGGGCAAGAGCATGCGGATCGAGCCTCTGCGAGAGGTTCCTGGCACCAGGCTGCCTCTTCCTAATCCCAGGAGTTCAGGAAAGGCCAGGATGAAGGAGTGGGCGGGCGCCGGCAGCCTTCAAAGCAAACTGCCCCCCTAAGCAGCCCCCATCCCCTCCAGCCTCTGGCACCACTCAGAAAACTTCCTGGTGGTCCCTAGCCCACTTGAAGGCAGAGCAGCAGGGTCCTAAGGAGCCCGCCGGCCACACCCAGGGACACGGGACACAGGGTCGTGGGAGGGCTCAGTGAACTAGGACAAACCCACTGCCATGGAATCAATTCCAACCCATAGAGGCCCTGTAGGGTGAAGCAGAACCGCCCCTGTGGGCTTCTGCGGCTGTAACTCTCTGCTGGAGCAGCCAGCCTCCTCTTTGTCCTGCTGATGCCAACTGCTGGCTTTGCCCAACCCATGACCCACTAGGCCACCAGGACACCTTTGAGTTGGGCACATGAAGAGAGGATGGAAGAGACACAGACCGTTCCCACACTCTGCTGCCAACCAAAGGAGTGGAGGTGCTCACCCACCCAGGGGTGCCTTGGAAGAAAGGCCAGGCACTCTGGTTCTGAACAGAATGACCCATTGGAAACGCTACGGAGCAAAGTCCTCCCCTAACACCCATGGGCCACCATCAATCCAGGGGGGTTCTTGGTGACCCAGGATTCATTGCCTTCCAAGTCGGCGGCCCAAGCGGCCTCCACTTGCCCTGGCTTAGCTTGCTGATTCCTTCCAGCACTGCATGGAAGCAGGGTCCCCACCGTTCCCTGGTATGGCCGAGGCTGCACTCGGCTCTCTGGCGCGCATAAAACTCAAGTCCCGAGACAGGGACCCGGGACATTCCCAGTTGACCCAGCAGCTTCTCTGCGGACTTGGTAGAGTTGCTCTCAAGTGACTGTTTAAAGGAGCCAAAATAAAACGCAGAAGGCAAAAGGCCAGGGTCTCAGGTGTCCCAGTGCTATTTATGGTTCCTGGTTGTTGTCCCAGGTCACACCGGGAGGGCGGGCGCCCCCCTCGCTGCAGCAGGTGGACATCACTGGGCTAGGGCGCCTTCTGCCCACTCTCCCCAGGCTGCCCATGGACAGCTGTGTAGGCTACAAGCTGAGGCAAGATCCCCTGCCGAGGGAAGAAATGGGGCTCACCTGGGCCCCCACCGGGCAGGCACACTTTGCCTAGCTTACAGACATTGGTAGGGTTAAGTGCCATTGAGTCCACTCTGACAGCTAGGGACCTTATGCATAACAGAAAGAAACACTGCCCAGTCCTGCACCAGCCGCACAGTTGTTCGTAGGCTTGAGCTCATTGCTGTCCACCCACCTCACCGAGGGTCTGCCTCGTTTTCGCTGCCCCTCTCTACGTTACCAAGCATGCCGTCCTTCTCCAGGGACTGGTCTCTCCTGACTGCATGTCCAAATATGTAAGACAAGTCTTGCCCTCCTGGCTTCTAAGGAGCATTCTGGTTGTACTTCTTCAAACACAGATTTTTTTTGTTTTGCTTTTGCTTTTGGTTGTCCGAGACACCTCCATGGCTCCTCGCCGGCACCACAATTCAAAAGCATCGATTCTGCTTCAGTCTTCCTAGTCAATGTCCAGCTTTCCCGTGCAGACGAGGAGACTGAACATCCTCTGGCTTGGGTCGGGCGCACCTTAGCCCTCAAGCAACATCGTGTACAGTAGATTCGTCCAACGCAAGGCATCGTTTAATCTCTCCCATGACTGTGGATCCTTGACGGCGGCCATCCTTTCTCCGCTTACTCTGATGTCCCTAGGAGTCCGGTGGTGAGGACTGCGGGTTTCTTGACATGGCGTCGTCGTTCCTGCTGACGGCTGCCATCAGCAAGGGTTTCCAATCCTCCTCACTGTCAGCAAAGCTTACAGACAGGCACCATATTTCCAGGAATACTGGTGGCACCTTGGTGGAGCGCTAGGCTGCTATAGAAAAGTTGGTGGCCCCTGCCTCTCCCCCAAGTGCCTGCTCAGGAGCAAGCCCTGGCAAGGTGCCCCTGGTAGAGGTTAGGACCTCCCCCCCCCACCCCAAATAATAAACAAACCCATTGTGTCGAGTTGACTTCAATTCAGAGTGACCCCAACTGAAGAAAGCTGCAGGGCCTCATAGGGTTTCCGGCCGTCGACGTTGCTAAAGGACACTTTCACTTCTCCTTCTCACAGAGAAACCACACACAGGTTCAAACCACCAACTCTTCCCTTAGCAGCAGACAGCTTTGAACCATGTGCCTCAGGCCTCCTTTTCCGTCAGGATTACAGCCTGGAGAACCCAGGGGTGGAGGGGGAGGGGGAGTCCTATTTGGTCACATGGAGCCACTCTGAGTCCAAAGTCAGCCCAATGGTACCCCGAAAGAGCAGCACCGTATCGCAGTTGCTGGGGCGGACTCAAATTCCCAGAGTCCTGCAAGCCACTTTAAGCAGAGGCATCACAGAAAATGAAATCCTATCGATTTTAAGTTATGTTCAGGGGGAGGGGAAGAAAGGGGGAACCCATCACAAGGTTAGATATGTAGCCCCCGGCCGAAAGGGGACAAATCACAGACACGTGGGTAAAAGGAGACATCGGTCAGTGTAAGACATGAAAAAATAATAACAATTCATAAATTATCAAGGGTTCATGAAGGAGGGAGGGGGAGAAGGGTAAAAAATGAGGAGCTGATACCAAGGACTCAAGTAGAAGTAAAATATTTTGAGAATGATGATGGCAACAAATGTACAAATGTGCTTGACACAATGTATGTATGTATGTATGTATGTATTATAATAAGGACTGTATAAGCCCTCAATAAAATGATTTAAATAAATAAGACTGGAAAAGAAAACAAGTGAGGTATAGAATGTTGTAAGAGCCCCCAATAAAGTGATTTTTAAAAGAAAATTAAGTTACATAAGTTATATTAAAAGCAAAGGCACACTAGAAAATAATGAAGGCAACATATGTACAACTGTGCTTGATACAATTGATGTGTGGCTTGTCATAGAGTTATAAGAGCCCTCAATAAAATGATCTTTTAATAAAAAGCAAATGTAAAACAATCGATAAAAATAAAGGCAAAGGCAGTGAATATTTTTTACCTCCTGATTCTCTTACCAAAGCTGACTCTTATCTATGGCCTTGAAGTTATTCCCACCCGCTGTATCTGTGGAATAAAAAGACTGCCGCATCCTCCTCCTCGCTCCCCACCTAGCAGACAGGAAAGGTTGCTAGCGGGCACTGACTTATACCGGCCCCCGCGTGTCACAAGAGTAAAACTGTGCTCCACAGAGGTTTCTTGGCTGTCACCTGGCTAGAAGCAGGTCACCTGGCCTCCCTCTCACATTGAGCGCAAATCAGTGTACAGAAAACTCCAATCCTCACAGGGGGACCCATGGGTCACATCACAAGAAAAGATCAAAGTGGCTCACGGAAGCAGCTGTCAGGCGAGAGATCAAAAGATGCATTGCATTAAACAACTCTGCTGCACAAGACCTCTTTCAAGTGTTGAAGAGCAAGGAGGTCACTTTGAGGACTGAGACGCACCTGACCCGAGCCAGACTCCTCTCCGTCGCCTCAGAAGCATGTGAAAGTTGGACACTGAGTAAGGAAGACCGAAGAAGCATCGGTGCGTTTGAATGACAGTGCTGGGGAAGACCATGCTGCCAGAAGAACCAACCTCTGTCTCAGCTAAAATGGCAGCAAGCTCCCGACAAGGGTGGTGAGACTTCATCTCACAGGCTTTGGACATGGTGTCAAGAGAGACAGTTCCCGGAGAAGGACGTCACGCTTACTAAAGAGGAGGAAGACCTTCGATGAGATGGAGCGACACAGAGGCAGCAACAACGGGCTGAAACACAGCAACCCTTGTGAGGGTGCTTCTTTCCGCTGTGCACAGGGTCACTGCGTCGAAACTGCCTGGACGGCACCGAAGAGCAACATCTGCCACTGTACAGTTGGGTAGGTTTGAACTGTCAACCTTCGCAGCTTGAAATCCGTTGCATTTCCACCACATGCACTGGCAAACACTCCCTGTGGACGTCGCTTGTTGATCTCACAATACATACGGGCTAGAGATGGTCCCATCGCCCATCCTCTGTCC